CGGAGACGTCTATTTGACGTCGCATTTACATCTGCAAGACATCTGCATACGTCTATAGATGTCAAATAGACGTTTAGAAGACGTCTTTAAGATGTTTATGATGTAAAACTGACATCTTAAAGACGTCTATCAGATGTTTGTACACAGCAGATGCTTTCGCGATCTTTAACAGACCTCTTGCAGACGTGCTATCTGGGGTCATTTTTACATACATTGTAAATCATAAACATCTTAAAGACATCTTCTAAACGTCTATTTGACATCTGATAGGAAACGTCCAATAGTATTGCAGATGAGCAAACACTCTAAAAAAACAGGTCTTGCAGATGTAAATGCGACGTCAAATAGATGTCTGGGTGATGTACGAGTGCTATTAGGGTCAATAACCCAGATAGGACAGGTACGTCTGCAAGATGTCTGTTAAAGATTGCGAAAGCATCTGCTGTGTACAAACATCTGTACGTTTTACATACAATGCAAATCATAAACATCTTAAAGACATCTTCTAAACGTCTATTTGACATCTGATAGGAAACGTCCTATAGACGTATTGCAGATGAGCAAACACTCTAAAAAAAGGTCTTTCAGGTGTAAATGCAGACGTCTCCGTGATGATGTGCTTTAAAGCTGCAGCGAGCAGCGCCACTGTCACATGCGTCAGAGTTGGTTGTAATTCAGCGTCCACAGGATGTGGTGAAACTTTCCTCCCTCGTTTAAATACGGTTTGCACATCTCTTGACATTTCAACTAATACTTCAACATGAATCTGCCACTTCACATTCAGTTTGATTTGGTTTATTCACACCATCAAACATTCATGTTGAAGCATCATTTATGTATTATATATATTAGTACGTGAAGATTGTGAAGTATAAGCTTATATCCACAGACTAAACAAGAGCTCAGGCTCGATGCATGAATGTATTTGAATGTTTTAGGAGTAATACGGTTTGCACATCTCTTGACATTTCAACTAATACTTCAACATGAATCTGCCACTTCACATTCAGTTTGATTTGGTTTATTCAAAACACCATCAAACATTCATGTTGAAGCATCATTTATGTATTATATATATTAGTACGTGAAGATTGTGAAGTATAAGCTTATATCCACAGACTAAACAAGAGCTCAGGCTCGATGCATGAATGTATTTGAATGTTTTAGGAGTTTCTTGAACATTGTGAGGGGCTCGGGTGGAGTTCAGAAGATTATTCCACCATCGAGGTTCAACAGAAGACAAGAATCACGATGCAGCAGCCGGATGGAGTCACACCCTCGACTCAGAGCTGTTTCATGAGATAGAGGAGCTTTATGAAGGCCAGACGCTGCAGTATATTCACTATCTGAGAGCAAAAACCCCACAGAGAATCACACAGTGAACAGTGTGTGTGTGTGTGTGTGTGCGTGTGAGAGAGAGGGAGTGCGTGTGTGTCTGTGTGACATTCTCCTCCTCCTCATGCCATTCACTCCCGTTGTGCCTTTGTTTATCTGTTTAGTAGCTAATGTTTTCTACTGAGAGTTGTTTTCCTCTGCTATTGAATCTACAAGGCAAGCAGTTCATTAAAACCAAAAAGACACCAGTGTTATTTTGCTCCTCCTTCTGACCTTTACTGAGAGTTTGAGCCTGTGATTGACCTGCAGTCGCCTACATTCACAGAAACACAGAGAACAGAGAATAAACCAGAATATTATCAGAACAGAAAATTATATATATATAATTTATGCAATGCAATTTTGTTTTATTCTGTAAGTGACAGGTCATGTCATTTTTTAGCATTTTATTATAAATTTAAAATGTAAATGAAATATAAAATAAATGTAGAATTTAAATCCAGGATGTCAGTGCAGGAATAAAGCGGTTCCAGCAGATGAAGACGGACTGAATCAATATTTACAGTGAGCACGTGTGTCTAGGCTTTCTTCCTCATTGGTGGTTAAGCGCTGACTCATTGTGGTTGGCTGTTTGCCAGCGGATTATAAACACACTGATGACTCAATAACCACTTCCTTAAACATCAGCCACCTCCGTGAAGTTGGCACACAAAACAGAAGCACTTAATAAGCCATTATCTATAGGCTATATGTAACTGTAATTGCATGGTATTACTGCATTTAACAGCTAATATTATTATAATATTATGTTAAAGTTTTTCTGTCCCCCTTACAAACGATTATTTATCGCACTGCATAATGCTGGGTACACACAAGATAATCGGGCTGATTTTGGGTCGATTTCTCCCCTTCCGACAGTCCCGATCATCTTGCATGTATATATTTCAGAAAAATAGGTTATGTTTATATATTAAATATATTTATTCATGATATAAATTATATGAATATAAATATATACATGTAAATATTTCTAAAGTATATGCTGTATGTGTGTAGATTCACATATACATAATAAATATACACAATACACACAACATATATTATGTAAACAAAGACTTTTATTTTGGATGCGATTAATCGCGATTAATTTATTTGACAGCACTAGATGCAAAACATATCAGAGGCTGGCTACGCTGTTCTTGTGATTTGAGTGTGCAATGTGAGTTGGACGTGAGATGCATTCAAATACTTCATCTGGTCATTATAACACTGTCATAGAAAAATACTGACTCGTTTGTGCTCCGTCCGTCACTTCATCTCTCTGGAATACAATAAATAATCTTATAGAAGAGTGGCTCTATGCACATATACAAATAAATACTGTACAGGAGAGGAACACGTCTGTCGCTCTGTATAACACCACTAAGCTGAATATCTGCACAATCGCACATTACACAGCTGGAAGGAATCGTCTGTTGTTCGATCTGCTGCTGGAAGTGAAATAGAGAAGCATAAGTCACACATTTAACCTGGGAAGCCTGAATGAGGTCATTTCCTTCCTCCTCTGAGAAGTTCCCGTTCCTGCACAGGGTTCAGAGAGGGTTCATCACACTTCCAGGCTCGGAATGAGAAATAAAAGCGGGTGATAAACGTATCGCTCGGGATCCTCTCGTTGGATCTATGAGATGCAGCAGCAGCTGTCACTCTTGGGATCCTCGTCTTCTATTGGCTGCATGAACCTCAGAAGGGGCGGGTCTCCGCTGGCAGGTGTGAAGTAAACTGCGCTGCCATTGGACGAGACCAGCGGCATGCGCGGATCCTCGGGGCTGGCTCTGGTCGAGCCGTTTCCCAGGTGGCCGTTGAGGACGGGATGGTCGAGGAGTTTGGCGGCGGCGCGCTGCTTCTTGAGTTCGGACAGTGTCTGTGCACGCTCTTTGGGCTTGGGCTCCTCGGCGGAGGGTGCGGGGTCAGGGGTCACGGGGTCAGCGGCCGGCGCTGGAGTGCTGGAGATGCAGCCGTTCTGTCCGCCGTCCTCCTTCAGGATCCCCGCTGCTCGAGGAGCGTCGTCGGGCTGCGTCTGCAAACAGGAAGTCAAAACATCGCCGCTGAAGAAACAGACGGAGTTCCTGTCTAACATCCAGATCTACAGTGAATCTGATTAAACTGCTTGATTCAAAGGGATTCGTGACCTTTTGGATCTTCTAAGTTGTGTGTATCTGGACTTTCAGTAACAGGACAGAAAGAATTTATAACAGCTAAGGGGGTTTTACGCACGACGCGAAGCTGTTATAAATTCACTGTAAACCACGGCTTCTTGGGGCTTATTGCTTTAATAAAATATCGTCACTTGCATTTCGACGATGACCCAAAGTCTCATGGTTTTGGAAATGACACAAGGATGAGTAAATGATGACAGAATGATAATTTTTGGGTGAACTCTGAAATATTGAAATATGTAATGTGTGGTCCAGAACATATTGATTATGATCTGCTGTTTTAAATGCAAGTGAAACCTCTCAGATTTGGAATGAAGAGCATGTTAAAAACTACTGTAAACGGCACTGTAGTTTTGTTGCGTAATTAAAATGCTATGGTTTTAAAAAAA